CTTTCCGGTATTTCCAAACCAGGAAACAAAAAAATCGACCATTCAAGATAGATTTGATAATTGAGAATTTATGAAATATCGCTACGTTCCGTATGTGAGTAGGTCACTGTAAACATTATGCGAAATATTTTTATCGGTAAAATTTTCATTTAAATCTCCAAGTGTTGAATAAATGTTCAAATTGAACATTCACCTACACTAGAATGGACACGCACAGTTTACTCGGCATAAACAGAAACATTTTTGAATTATACCAGAGTTAATTTTTATTGAACAGCATAGGGAAAGTTGCTTGTGAGTTTGTGGCAGAGACATAATATGCAGTTCGTTAAGCACATAAAGCCTCTAAACTTATTCCATATGGGGTTAACCAGAATTATTAGTTCAAACAACACCAGTGGAAAGTGAAATAATTGCTGAATGCAACTCTCGAAGTATTTGAAAATTTAGGCGATGTATAAAGAGAAAATGACATTTTATATGGAGTTAATCATTATGGGTAAATTTTGTAGAGTAATAACATTTATATGATATTTTTGGTGGCAGAAGTTATTATTTTGATGTTTTGTTTATCCAGTATCTTTGAAAGAGGTTTCAGGAAAGGTAAATTCTAGTTCCATATTTTGGAAGCACTTTATACAGTTTTATCTTATAGTCCTGTTCGGAATTCGATATTTATTTGATCTCTAAAACATAGGTTGTACCTATAGGATACATATAAATATTTTAGAGAAGTTGAAAACAAAATTGCTCTACGAAAATGATTGAATTGAAGTTTATGGACTATGCTTGTTTATATAGGCAGACTCTGCAAGCCACTATGTTTAGTAATTTTGACCTACTATACTATTAAAAGTAAGGAGAACGACTTGAAATATTTTTTCTGCATTTTTCCGGAATGATAAAAATACCTAATAAGTAATAATATTTTTGATTATCCCTGCATTAATGGGGCGGTATAATTAACAGAAAAGAATCATAACAGTAGCAGTCTTGATTTATGTCTATTTTTCGAAGTCTCGATTGCTTTTCAAATTTTGAAACTGAATTTTGAACCAGTTCACCTTAACCAGTTGAGCTGAACTTTTATACACAGGTTTGGTTCGCGTGACTATACAAAGTGAATTGAATGCCACCATTTTGATTTATCATTTCCATAGTAACACCTATGGATATCTAATGAAAGGGCTTGATGAGAGAAAAACAGTACTCAAAGTGACGTCATTAGAAATTCAATATGGCTGCAGCCGCAAAATGGCGATTTATCAATTCCATAGGCATGGGCATCAAATGAAAGGGTTTTATAAGAAAAACACAATACGTAAAGTGACGTCATTATGAATTCAATATGTTAGACGTCTAATATGACAATGCGATATTATTATGACATGGAGCTCGTCTGATGATGCATCTAGGAGATGACCATGGGAACTCTATGATAAATCGACGCAAACTCAAAATGGGCCACGTTTGATTCTTCTTCACAAATATTTTGGTCATAGGATCTGATGAATAAGTTAGTCAACTATCATGTAAACTAAATACTCATGTGCAATTTTCAGCCTTTCTAACAGTAGTACGCTAAAATATACCTACGCTTGATTTTTTTGTTCAACTGAGCAAGGTTACTTATAGATATAACTACGTCTCCGGTATTTGAATAATATGTAATACCTATGTATCGATTGAAATCTTAATAAATAAATGTAGATAAGTAAATTTAAAAAGTCCTATTAATAAAATATTTGTAAATTAGATAGTAATTTTCAAACCAGACATTTGACATAAATTCTAAATAGTAAAAAATAAATATAATAAAAAATATATTTTTTAAAACAAACATAATTTCTGTTACTGTTACTAAAAATTGAAAGCTCAGATATATTATTTCCAATTGGACATATTCCATTTTATACTTTCATAACCTTTAAACGATATTGAAGCTTCAATATCGTTCAAAGGTCAAGAAGTATAAATCAATGTCTAGTTCGTTTTATTAAGAGCTAAATAAAAACCTGTTTTTACAAAAGTATTTTTTTATTTATTATCTACACGACTATCTTATTATCTACCTAATATTTCCCCTTAAACAAAAAACCTAAATCTACGCCAATGACGATAATCGTCCAATAACTATTTACCAAGGGGTAAGTGGCCGTCGACCGCACCAAGGAATCAAGAATACAAATAAGCCCTTTTGTTGAGCGTGGATATAGCTAATTAAGCGGTGAAAGAGAGAGGGGACATATGGAACTCAAAAAACTGGCTGAGAGATCCCTTATTCATTTTATGCACGTTAGATAAACATTATACCTATGTAAGATCAAGATAAGTAATGAGAATTAGGGAGCTTGATTGGTTTGTTAATCGCTCAGTTGTGGTCATGAAATAGACGCTGGTTAGGATATGTAAGTAGGGGTAACCGTTTGCAAGCTCACTGGATGAATTGTAGTTACAGTGAAAATATTGTTTGAAGTATCATTTTATGCACTTTGCTGGAAACCAAATATTGTTTTTTTTTCGAACAGCGTATGTTAGATGAATCATTTTTACGGCATCTAAAAACTTCAAGCATTACCTGAGCGCAAACTCGCAAATGACATGCGTTCGCTTTTTGCCTACTTTAAGAAATTCTAGACATAGTAGTTTAAATTTTTCCATTTTTTGTTATATATAGAGGACGGGCACCTAATTTCGGATGGTTTTTTATTTTTCTTAATTTTTTGAAAACAAACCTATATTTTATTATATATAACATATAGTAAAATAATTTTTATTTTAACATTTTAACGCATTGTGGAGAAAAAACCAGAAGTATGCATTTTCAGGGATTTTAAAAATGTTCGCCCAAATTTGGACAAGCCGGTTTCTATTTCGGATACAAAAAAATATCGCCCACACACGAAAAAAAAAATTCCAAACAAACGTCGCAGATATATTCTTGGCGCTTGTCACTATTAGCACATTGTTCATGAGTCCATTTGTGACATTTCCTGCATCTGATCCATTGTTCTCCTCTGACGTCCTTCGAAAATAGACCATTACGAAATAAACACTCGACATCCACATCACTTCCATCCATATCAGAATCATCATCAAATATATATATATATACGAACGATGCGCGAAATCAACAACTGCAGCAATGCCGTGCAGATGTAGAAAGGGACAACGTTGCCAACTGGACTGTAAATACCGGTAAGGGAGAGAAAAAATGTCTATTGTCTAATTGTATGGGCCTGCCTGATCGATTTAATGCGTTTAATTTCTCTAATGTACATGTTTGTAACTTTTCTTTTCTCTCACAGGATCTATATTTCGCTAAACTTAATCCTTTATGAACTGATGACGGCGTTGCATAGGAAGTGCAGAGTCAACCTACTTGACTCTATTTCTTTTCATCGTCGCGTCAGGTACACACGACACACTAGAGAAGGTTATCTACAAATATGTGCTTTCCAATGAATTCGAATAGGTTATATGTTTTCATTTCATTATTTATCACCAACATTGTTTAGTTTTAGTGCATACTTATGGCTCGTTCGCCTACCATTGCCTACTAAAGTGGCAAGCCAATACGTCGGTGTACACTTTTTCTCTGGAACTGTATTCATGTAGCCAATAGTACTGGGTTACCAGGGCAGAAATACTATTTGTTCGATGTGAATCGCTCAATTATTGTTAATAAACTGGGATAAATTAAATAAGGTAAAATAAACGAAAGTAAATATTTATTAACGGTATAACACATGAAAAATTGATTTGTTTTATTAATTCATGATTTTAGAACGTGAAAAATACGAAAAATGTGTCTTCATCAAACAGCAGCAATGACGGGATATCTGATATTGGAAATAACGGGATACCTTGCCTGAATTCTGCTCGATTTTTCTAAATTGTTGTGAGCCGAGCAGACTCTTAACTAAAAGCAAATACTTAGTTAAGCATGAAATTAACAATGAACTTCCTCACTAGAATCTCGTGGCAATAAATGAGAACATAAAATTACTATTTATAAGTTGAAAGTAAATACCTTTCCTAAGAACTTTTAGATTCTAAATTAAAGTAGATAAGGATCGAAGTTGAAGTTTCAGTTGGGGCTTTTCGGTATGCATCAAAAATGTTCGTATGTCTCCAATACTTATCATTTTTTTTAATATTTTTGTATGTAATCCTGTTAACAAACCTTAGCTTTGGACTGGACACTCAAAAGCAACAAGAAGTAGACTGAAATCAGAATTTTCTCACAAATGTCCAGATAAAAGTCGAACGTTGAGGTACATGCCGTTGACTATCATAGATTAACGCTCATTATTCGATTATTCAGTTTAACCGTCTTTTTGTATTCCACAGAGACCTTCACCATTTTGGACAATTTTCTGGAACACTAGGACTGTATGGAACCCACGCACACTCGTTTTTTTTTGGAGAAAATACGAATTTCATATGAAACGCCAACAACTGTCAAACTGGTGGTTTAAGTTTGATTAACTTTGTAGCATGAACCTTTCATCTTGACTACAGACTATCAGATTTTGGAGACAAATCGTAGACTTGCTACATCTACCTAGTCTGAATTCATTGGTGCTTTTTACCAAGCCTTTACCATCGGCAGTACGAAATTGCCGCGCTATCTATCCAGTATTACCTACCCGTTAGCATGGCAACCTTCAGAATAAAAAAGGGTGAATACTGGAACGCGATTAACAAAATACTGTTCATTAAATAGTTGTATGGCGTTGAAAAGTAAGTAAAGGTGATAACATTCAATATTAGATACATTTGATGTTTCAAAGCTCAGTGTTTATGGTAGTACGATTATAATATTAATCGCATTTTAACGGTTGTTTGTTAGATCTAGCTTTTCTATATTAGTAAATATTTTTAAATATATAGGGAGCTATGTTTAAAGGTATCAGCTGAAACAAACTAAAAACGTATTTAAAGCATTTAAAGTTTGTTTCATTGAAATTGAAATTCAAAATTGTTTTATGTTCTGTAATTAAAACGAATTCGTATTAACACGAATGAATAAAAAAAATGAATATCCCGGCTTAAAACCGCTGAACAGATTTTTTGGAGTTATGTTTAAAAACACTCATGATGAAATTACCTTTCACAAAGACACATTAAGCTTATAACTCCCTTTCTTACTTATGTATGTATGTACTTATAAACGAGACGTCGTACTAAAATATGTAAACGTCATCCTGTTTGGCTCACCAGCATCTCTCTCTATTTTCATCTAAAACGTACGTCGGTAGTTCCATCATAGCTCATTTGTTTTCTGTGATATAATAAGTCTTTTATTTTTTATTAAGACAATCCAAAATTAACAAAATTAAATTACTCATTTCAAATAATTCGATATCGGAAAAAGATGTAATCTGTATGCTTTAAATGCATTAGAGTGTGTATAAACATTGTCCAAATTTTTCTCCATTTGACCCGTCCTTCTCATGGCACCCTTTACATATAAAAATAGGAATTGCAATTAAATCAACCTTAACTTTAAACTTCACTTTTTGTAGTATAATTAACCTCCTCAACATATTTTTATTGTTTGAAGACTAACCTGTAATGGTGGTCTATATGCGCCTTTTCTATCCTTTTGTCTTTGGCTCTCCTATTTTGGAACCAGATTTTGATTTGTGTCTCGGATAGTCTGAGTGCTTCTGCCAATTCACATCTCCTTCCCCTGCTGATATATTCTGACCTCTGGTATTCTATTTCCAATCGTAAGGTCTGCTCGCTGCTGAATGTAGTACGTTGACGACGAGGTCGGCCTTCTTTGCGACGCCTTCTTGCTACTACAAATCACATAATTATGGTTAGACAATGAGACTACACCATTTAAGAGGAACTAAATAACTAAAAATAGTTCCTTAAGTAATTACGAAAAATAAATCCTCAGTACCGCATTAAATAAAGACATTTTATAAGAATCAACCCATTATCCATGTTATAAAAGAGTATATTTTTCACAGATGAAGAAAATTAATTATAGAAACATAGGTGTCATATTATTTTTGTTTTACATAAATTAGAGAGCATAGTGCGTGTTATCAATTTCAACCATAATTATATAAAAAATAGTAAAGTTCCAATTCTGCCCTACTCAATCTGCAAGTCAATATTTTAAGTGCTTTAGATAATAAAATAGCACTAGCGTTAATCTTTATAGACTATTCGAAAGCATTTGACAGCATCAATCGTACATTCTTACTTGCTAAATTAAATTAAGTAGGACTTGACAATTTATCCCTTTTATTTTTCGACAGTTACCTTCATCAAAAAACTTAGTGTGATTTTGTCAACCAAGAAATGTCTCCAGTGACAATAATTCCATCAGGCGTATTTCAGGGCTGTGTATTCTGGCCCCTGCTATTCCTCATATATACAAACTATAAAAGTTTTGTAATATGACTTAACCAACGAACGTAGGAGGCTGCATGTTGAGACATGTCCATGAAAGCATAGTAGCCGCCAGTAGCACGTTTGGTGATTTAGTTGATCATTCGCATTGACAGTGTAAAGTACGGAATATGGCATCGTGGTCACGTAGTGAGATACGGGCAGTTTTACAGTATAACTTTACGCGTGGTTTAAGCATAGACCAGTGCGTAGAAAAAATGACCCTTGCATTAAAGCATGATTGTCCTCATCATACGACTATACAAGGGATGTCTTTTAAGTTTTGCATATGGAAATAAAACAACACGGTAGGTAGTTTTAAATGACTGTTGTTTTTCGAAGTATTCTCCACGAAGATTAATACATATCTGCATGCGCTCGAACCAATTCTCGAAGCACTTATTTCACTCGTTTGCTGGCAGATCCAAAACGGCATTTTTGAATGCGTCAACTGCTTCTTCTGGTGACTGGAACCTTTGACCACGCAGTCTGTTTTTAATTTTCGGGAAAGTAAAGAAATCGTTAAGACCTAGATCGGGACTATATGGAGGATGGTCCAATAATTCCACGTTTTCTTCCGTTAAATACTGCCTTGTTTTTTAGGCTATGTGCGAGCTTGCATTGCCTTGGTGGAGGATGATTCTTCTTTCGGGGTTGATTTTTCGAAGCTCGGTGATGACTTTCGGCAAACAAATGGTGGTATACCAATCCGCGGTAACAGTTCTTTGCTCATTAAGAGGAACTGTTGCAATATGACCCGCTTTTGACACAAATGTCGACACCATCTTTTTCGAAACACTTCGAGAACGGATGACTTTTGTTGGCTTTTCTTCACCTTGGAACACCCAAACAGCGACTGTCGTTTATTTTCTGGTTCATAACAGTAAATCCATGGTTCATCACCACTAACAGTGCTGTACACTTTTTTGAGTTTCCGGAATTGAAACGGTCAAGTGCTTTCTGCTCTTCAGTCAACAGGTGGGGTATCCAACGAGAAACTAATTTTCTTACTCCTAATTCTTCATGTAAATTTTTTTGAATTGAGGTCTTTGAGATCTTCAAGGACGCCTCGATCTCGCGATATGTCACATGTCTATCTTCAATGATGAGTTTGCGCACAGCATCGACGTTTTCCTGGGTGACTGCCGTTTTTGGTGCACCCACCCTGGGATCGTCGCTAAGACTCACCCGTCCACGTTTGAATTCTCCATACCAATGGGAAATTGTCGGCTGATGTGGCGCTTCGTTGCCGAAAACAGACAGTAACTCAGCAAGGCATTCTTGTTCTCGGTTGAGTTCCATTTTTCTAATGACTTGGTGACCCTTAAAAATTAACTGTAGTGTAGTGTATTGTTGTGAAACTTTGAATTTAAGTTTACTAAAGAGTGAGGTTAAGATTCAGTACTGACGTTCGATCCGCGCGGCTTACTGTGTTTCTATATGCAAAACTTAAAAGACATCCCTCGTATTCAGGTGGTACAGAGAATTCCAGAGAGATAATTTCACTCTTGAGAACGCTGAGAGGGAACGAAGGCTGCGAACGTCAGTAACAGAGGAAAACATTACTGCTGTGAGGAAAATGCTGGACAAAGACCGGAGAGTGACATACTAGCAGATAGAGGAGACCTTATATCTTCATGCACTAGTAATTCATTCAATTCTGCAAGTCCATTTACACCTAAGGAAACTTTGTTCTCTCTGGGTACCGCATAGTCTGGCGGAAGAGCAGAAGACTTGTCGCACGACTTGGTGCCGAAAATGCTGAAAATGTTTGATACGGACAATCTCGGTATGTGAACACCATCGTGACAGATGACGAGACTTGGCTCTATTATTATGATGTGCCGATCAAGGCTCAAAACAAAGTTTGGGTCTTTGATGACGAGGACACACCCGTAGCTGTCAGAAAATCCCAATCTGTTAAGGAAACATTGATAGCTGTATTTTCAAATCGAGTGAGATTGTGGAGCGTGTAACAGTCAGAGCTAAGTGGTACATGGAACAGTACCTGCCTAAAGTCAAAGAGTCTATGAAAAACTTGCGGGCAAAGTCAAGAATGAACACTTGGTACCTCCATCATGACAACGCTCCAGATCACCGCGCCAAAGCCTACACCGAGTATTTGACCACTACTGGACTGAAACTTATTCAGCACCCTCCTTTCTGTCCAGGTCTTGCTCCCTGCGACTTTGCACTGTTTCTGCATGTGAAAGTTAAGCTAAAAGAAAAACGGTTTTCCAGCGATGAGGACCTTCTGAGGGCTTGGGACAACGAGTGTGTCGCACTCCCGGGTGAAACTTGGCTGGTTTAAGGACTGGTTTTGGCGGATGGAGAAGTGTATTGAATATGGTGGAAATTACTTTGAACGAAGTCAATAAATAAAGCTGCATTACAAAACTTTTATAGTACCCTTTGTACTTTCGACTTAAGCAAAAGTATTGATAATTCTCATGTCCAGTCTTTTGCATGTGATAAGCAGTTGTTCTATTATTTTAACCCAGATAATATCAATAATACTACGCAAATTTTACAAAACGATGTTAGTAAATTAAGTACTCTTTAGATCATAATCTACTTTTTAATCAAAAAATATTCAAGATATTTTTTTGTGCTCTATGAAAAAAGACAATGTCACACAGCTCTTGAACATTCAGATAAATAACCAAATCTTGCAATTTTCTGATTCTACAAAAATGTTGTTTTTTTGATACAAAATTAAGTTTATTGAGTATGTTAAAAGTCTTTCACAGAAAACCTACCTAAGGCTGTACCCTTGCAAACAGGTATTTACTAAATTTTAGGTTGCTTAAAAAACTATGTGAAAGATTGGTCATATCTATACGAAATTATTGTTATATCGTATACTACACATGTTTAGACAATTTCACCAAAACGTTATTCAAGTAATCCAAAACAATTGTATACGTTCTCTATGTTATCTTTGGCTTACGTAAATTTGATTATATATCTGCAAAATACCTCGTTCTAAACTGGTTAATAATAATTAATGACTTGGTCATGTATCACTATTCAGTGTTTGTTCAAATTTGATCATATATCTGCAAAATAACTCGTTCTAAACTGGTTAATAATAATTAATGACTTGGTCATGTATCACTATTCAGTGTTTGTTCACAAGCTACTACTCTACTCACGTCTAAACCCTCTTACTTGAGGGAAAAATGCATTTAATAGTGATGTCACTGTAGAACTCTTAGGGAAAAGAATATTAGAATACCCCAGCATACGTCTACGCTTTTTAAACACAGCTGTTTATACAATGTTGCTATTATTTATAATGACCTTCCTAAAGTATATAAAGAATTTTCGTTACCTGTATTTCGACGAAAAGTTAAAACAATATTACTGAACTTTTCAAACATATAATTTATGTAATCAGGGATTTCTTTTTTTATCCCTTAGTCGGGTTAATAATTTTTGGTCTACTTGAGTTTGGAAAGTATGGCTTTTTCTCTTTTTAATTTTATACTTTCGGTGTAACTAACAAAATCTGTTTGTGAATAGTGTATTGTTGTAAACATCTGCTAGCGACTATATGGTTAAGTGTAAACTATGCTAAGCTCCGCCATATAGGTCTGACATTTGGCTTTACTACAATGTAATTGTAGATAAATAAAGACGTCTGTTATTATTATCTATGTAGTAGTACAAATGTACAAATATTGTAGATCTGGTTTGATTTATCTGCAAATCATACTTTACCATCATACGACAAATGCTACTGCATCGCATATCCTGTCGCTTTTGTTATAACATCAAAAACTATCAATCAACAGCGTGTTTATGATATTGCTGCCCCAAAACATTTTTCCATCCATGACACCTACCCAAAAGTGTCAGCACCTGAATCCGATACTGTTTGTCACGAATTTGAGTGTTATTGATACTACTTGTGCGCAACAACGGTAATGCAAACAACAATATCATAATACACATATCGATTAAAATACAGACAAAATCCCATTAGCATTACTATATCACAACGCTCTACAGTGTGTTTAACAGTTCCAAGTAACGCCGAAACATGGGCGAATTTGTCTCTATCCGAACGGTCATGAATGGCGTATCCATAATGCGATTATATAAAGCCTCGCTGCGCTGGCGATAACAATATACTGGGTAATATCTATTTTTCGTACAACAAATCCCGGATCAAGCACTCTAAAGCATACTCCCTGATTTTCCGGGGAAACTTCAACTTGAAAATGTGCGTAAATAGAAAGGAAAGCCTTAAGAATCTCAATGCAATTTTTCCATCCATCACATAAGCGAAAGAGTTTTGGAGGAATTACCATCGCTTTTGCCATAGTGGTAACCTTCCGAGTAATAAAACTCATAAAGATTGGATCGTTCACTAAATGAGATGAGCCATAAC